ACTGGGCCCTAAAAGAGGTCTCAGGAATGGGCTGTGGGAGCCCTATGGCTGTCTGCTTTATATTAATGACCTCAGACTGAAATCACAGTGGTAATCCAAGTTTATTGTACTTTGCAAGAAGCCCAGTCCCAAGTTCACAAAAAGAACCAACCCTAGGTCTCAAAATTTCACAAAATGCAAAATCTGGATTCATTTCCTCCAGCAATCTTCCAGAAGGGACTAGGATATCTGCTAAACATAAGATAGTTCCTAGAAATCCTATATATGTTGCATCTGGCAAGAATGCCTTGGTCTTTGCAGTTCCTCTGGAAATACATCTGTAAGGGAGTGTTGCACAGAAATTATGCCAACAGGTAGATGACTCTACTTACATGGGCTGGGGAGTAACCATAGCCTAGCGCTGTGCTGTCCAGTATAGTAGCTACATTGAACACTTGAAACAAGCACTTAAGACGTACTGGACACACCTGACTTTGAAGATTTAGTACAAAAAAATGTGAAACATCTCATTAATAATTTTTTTTATTGATTACATGCTGAAATGATAATAGGTGTCTGTATTAGGTTAAATAAAATATGTCATCAAAATTAAAAAACAGTTGACTAATTCAAGAAAGGGAAAAAGCAAATCAAAGATAGATTTTATTTTGAATCAAGTTTATTTAAGAAAAAAAAAATGGAAATCAATTGTACTGACCTTTAAATCTTATTAAGGTACTTCGCTCTTACTTTTTAAAGTTGAAAAGAAAATTTTACCAGAATAAAATACATCTGTTAAAAATACTTATATGATTACCTTGATAAAACTTTCCTATTTTATTCTTTACCATTTTATGGTAAATAACAGAGATCCAAGTCTATTTAGAAATTTAGATAAACTGTCTTATTAAAGCTTATTCTGTACTTTGGATGAAATCATTTACCTATGTTTTCATTTTAATGAAAATATAAGTCTAAAATAAAGATTCATAAAAATTGGAGGGAAATATTCTAATTAAATTTCTAATAATGTTAAGTAAGGAAAAAAAAGAAAAGTGATCTCACAGAATGTGGAAATTATTGAACAATATCATATGCAAGTAAAATCTTATTGAAGATAATTAAAAAACATTTGCAGTAGTGTATTGACAGAGAACTTCAAGAAATGTAAGCTGATTCAGAAGGGGATATGGAGCAAGGGATATCATAGCTGATGTCAGATAGATCTTGGCTCAAAGCAAAGAAAACCAGAAAGATGTTTACTTGTGTTTTATTGTCGATGCAAAGGCATTTGAATGTGTGGATCATAACAAATTGTAGATAACATTGAGAAGAATGGGAATTCCTGAACACCAAGAAGCTGTCGTTAAAACAGAACTAGGGGATACTGCCTGGTATCAGGAAGGGAGTGCATCCGGGTTGTATCCTTTCACCATACTTATTCAATCTGTTTGCTGAGCAAATAATCTGAGAAGATGGACTATATAAAGAAGAATGTGACATCAGGATTGGAGGAAGGATCACTAACAACCTGATGTACACAGACGACACACTTTGCTTGCTGAAAGTGAGGATGACTTGGAGCATTTACTGGTGAAGATTAAAGACTAAGTCTGCAGTATGGATTACACCTCAATGTAAAGAAGACAAAAATCTTCAAACTGGACCAATAAGCAGCATCATGATAAATATGGGAAAAGATTGAAGCTGTCAAAGACTTCATGTTACTTGGTTCTACAATCAATGCCCATGGAAGCAGCAATCAAGACATCAAAAGACGTATTGCATTGGGAAAAATCTGTTGCAAAAGACCTGCTTCAAGTGCTGAAGAGCAAAGATATCTCCTTGATGACTAAGATGCACCTAACCTAAGCCATAATATTTTAAATTGCCTTATAGTGAGAGCTGGACAATGAATAAGGAATGCTGAAGAAGAGTTGATGCTTTTGAGTTGTGGTGTTGGTGAAGAATGCTGAAAGTATTGTGGATTGCTAAAAGAACTAATAAATCTGTCCTGGAAGAAGTGCAGCTGGAATGTTCCTTGGAAGTGAGAATGGCCAGACTGAGGGGAAGGCCCTCAACAAGATGGATTGACAGAGTGGCTGCAGCAATCGGCTCAGGTATAGTAGGGATCATGAGGCTGGCACAGAACCGGGCAGTGTTTTGTTCTGTTGTGCGTAAGGTCACTCTGAGTTGAAGATGACTTGATGGCACGTAACAGCAACAACAGCAACAGCAACAACAACAACGCCTGTCTGACTCCCTATTGTTAGAACAAAACTCCATATTTTTAGTTAAGATGCCATTTCTTTAAAACCTGGCTTCAACCTTGTGTTATAATTAACTAGCTCTCTTTCTAAGTTACAGTTATCAGGTCCTGCTGCACCCTGTGATCAAGACAGAGCCCTTTTGTCAGTAAATAAATTCACAAGGCTCAGGTGTGGAATTTGGCCCTACCTCAGGGGGGCTTTCCTCTCAGACAGGTACCAGTAACCTGAGGAGATGATGACACACATGTGCTGTAGACTCATACTCCTTACCCTTGTGTGATTTCTTTTCCTCCATTTTTAAAACTAACCACCGGTTTTGGGGAGATTGTCAGTCTCTGATAGATATTCTTCTGGACGCCTGAGGAAAGATGCATGGTTTTCCTGAAGGCTCAGGAAAGGACAGAAGGCTAGTATCCTGAGGAAGGGGCAAATTGCATTCCTCCCAAGCTGTTCTTGACCTCTACTGAGCCCTGTTGTTGTTGTTATGACCCGACTCATAGGGATCCCTCCTTGGGTTTCTGAGGCGGTATCACTACAGAAGTAGATTGCCCATCCTTCCTTTTGAGGAGTGGCCCTAGTGGGACCCTAACACCAATGCTGGCCAAGTTTGTCTCCAAACATACAAGAGTCTGATTCATGGTCTCCAATGTGGAATCCCGAAGCAACTTAACTTTAGCAAGGTAAGAGAAGTCCAGCACATGCTGGACAACAATCCTTCAGCCTTTTGGGAATGAATTTATACTGCCTTTCAACAGTATACTAATGTTGACCATGAAGGTGAGGCTTATACTGCCTTAATTAATATGACTTTCATGAGCCAGTGCGTTACAGATATTTGGAAGAAATTACAGAAAATGCAATGAGTGAGCATGTCCCATCCCAGCCCTTGGAGAGGTAGCTTTTAAAATGTTTACCAATTGAAACCAAGTAACCAAGTATGTATCTATGTACGTGTATACACACACACACACACACACACACACACACGAGCTCTGGTAGCATAGTGCCTAAGGTACTTGACTGCTAACCAGGAGGCTGGCGGTTCAAACCCACCAGCCACTCCTCTGAAGGAAGGTTGGGCAATTCTACTTCTGTAGTGATACTGCCTTGGAAACCCAAGAGAGGTCACTATGAGTCGGGGCCGACTTGATGGCACATAACAACAACAACAACATATATATATATACACATACATAAAACCAAACACACTGCTGTCGAGCTGATTTTTGACATATATATATTCACACACACACACATATATGTGTGTGTGTCTGTGTGCGTGTGCATGTGTGTTTATATATGTATAACTGGCACAGAAGCAATGGTAGAATGATAAACTAGCTCTCTGGGAGGAAAAAAAAAAACCCTGATTTCCAGAGTTTGATCATTCATGTGGTATAAATACCCCCACTGTGGCCAATGAATGAATGGAGTTATAGTACACTCTTATTAGACCTTCAGAAAGAAACATCTTACAGACACCCAAATTATAGCAACATTTTATTTAGAGCAATCTTGAGCATTTTTTTAATCTTCATTTTCCACTAAGGCAGTTAATAGTTTTCCTTCCTGGAAGCAGATGAGGCTACAGTAAATTCAGTCAAAGACAAAGCCAACCATACTGCTTTCAGATGCAGCAGAAATACGGGCCATGGGCCCAGATAAGCCACCTATCGGCTTCTGGAGCCCGCTGTCAAGGAACAGACCCAGGGTGATGCGTTTCAATTGCTTAGGAAAATGGCTTAAGTTCCATTACATTTTATCCCTACAGGAGACCTCACTGACAGCCTTTCACCACAAGAGGGAGTCAGATGTTGGCTCACAAAGCTCTGCTGCTTCTTTGCCTTCAGTTGGTTTGAAGGAAATTGCTTAACCTGTTAGGACTGCTAAATTTACACGTTCTAGTTTTGTTTTGGAATTGTTTAAATGTCCAGTGCGGGTTGAGGGGTGGGGAGGGGCGGGAGCTCTCTGTAAAGCAATTCAGCCAGGTCTCATCTGACTTGTATTCATTCTTGCCGACATCTGGCTAGATGTGTGTGTGTGCATGTGCGTGTGTGTGTGTTTATTGGCACAAGGATCATCCTAGGGTATGGGGCTGGCTTCTGTAGTATCAAAAAACTAAACACTGATAATATGGCCTGGTAGAAATGAGATACTCTTAAGAACTGTGAGAAAACAAAAGCAGAGCAGGATTGCTTCCAAATGTTACCAGGCATTTATTTAGACATACCACAATAACTAGGTCTAATAGGCAAGACTAAATACATAGAGAGGCAGCACCCTAACGGCTGATCTTGGTTACAGCTCTATGCTGCCCCCTAGTGGTTTTCTGTTTCATTACACCTTCCTTGGATTCAAGCTTTGGCCAATAGTTAAGAGCCTGTTAGCACAGGAATTCAAGATGTTAGATCTCCCAGAACCTCAAACCCTACAGTTAAAAACAAAGAGCCTTTTCCGGGCTAGAAACACAAAAACTGATGACATTTGGGACTCCAGTTCTGGTGAAAGGTTTTGTGATGAGGCTTACCAAATAGGCCACTCAAATCTCTTGGGACCCAAGCAATCTGACTGGCTTGTCAGATGCCTCCAAAGGGCCCAGAGACAAGGATGACTAGCATAGTTAGGTCAAAGAAGGGGGTAATTCTGGGGGTGAGGTGGGGATGGGTGGAGAGAAAAGTCACAGGGAGACAGAGTGTAGAAGGGCAAAAGGGGAGAGCCTTGTAACAGATCCGTGAGCTTCCTGGGAGTGTCCTGGGCCAAAAGGCCAGGCAGCGGGTGCTGTCCCAACCCACCCACTGGGCTTCACACCCTCTTCATTCCTTTCCCCATGAGGCAAGCGAACACTGTCATGACCATTTTAGGGTTCACTTCAACCAGGTCTTCTGGAAGGGCATATACTCGTGCTCCAATTTTTCGGGCCATGGAGATAGCATATCTGAAAGGGAGAAAAGAGGAAAAGATGAGGAGAGTTAAACAGAAAGTAGGATCCTCCAGGATCAGGGTTACCACTGATCAACTTTTAGAACAGAACTCACTCCTGGTATACCTGGAGCCAGTCACTAGCTTCCTCTTACTTTTATGGCACATCTTGGTTCGAAAAGTTCCTGACTGCATCAGACTTGCTGTGTCATCTCATGATAATTACCAATTTATTATTTGTTCCTGGAGACTTCCCCACCCCCACATTGCCTTTTTATGCCCGAAACCATGAGTATTCCCTTGGGCTGTACAGCATTCGGAGTCCCTGGTGGGGGGGACAAGTAGTTAACATGCTTGGTTGCTAAAGAAAAGGTTGGAGAGGTGTGCCTGGTGATGGACTTCCGAAAAATCAGCACATTTCTGCTCTGACACCCATGGTACTACTGTGAGTCAGAAATGAGTCGATGGCAACTGTTTTGGCTACACAGGATGATGTCATAGACCAGCACGTGAACTTGTGCTAGGAAGAGTTTGCAGACTGCATTTTAACTTCAGAAACATTTTCACAAGGAAGAAGAAAATGAATCTATAATACCTTGGCCTTACACATCAATTCATTCCTGGTTCCATTCGAATCTTTGCTCACATATATATGTATTTATTTATGTTACTGGGAGCTCTGGTAGCATAGTGCCTAAGGCACTTGACTGCTAACCAGAAGGCTGGAGGTTCAAACCCACCAGCCACTCCTTGGAAGAAAGATGGGGCAATCTACTTCCGTAGTGATACTGCCTCGGAAACCCAAGGAGGTGTCGCTATGAGTTGGGTCCAACTCGAAAGCACATAACAACAACAACAACAACAACAACATTTATGTTACTATAATGGGAGAACAGCCAGAGTCTTGTACATTTTCACGTGAAATTATCATAGCCGCATCAGAACATCTCTGCTCCATTTCTAGTTATAGATAACTGTTATTAGTTGTAATTTATTTTTGAATGAACCCACACTACTCCCTGGCAGTTCTTTTATTCACTTCATTTATTATCTGGTAGCCTCACACGGCAGCTATTGGGGTCTTTCCACTCTGCCCAAAGCCCTATTCTCCCTCCTGCTCTCCTAAATAACTTTAACTCTTACTTTATTGATCAAATTAAATTAAGAACATTAGGCAAGAGTAATGCCATTCTTTTTCCTCTGTCTTAATCATTAAGGAGCAAAAGGTTAAGTGCTCCACTGCTAAGCAAAAGGTTGGGGCTTTGAGCCCACCCAGTGGCTCCATGGAAGAAAGACCTGGAGACCTGCTCCTGTAAAGATTACAGTTAAAAAGCTCCCCGGGGCAGTTTCATTCTGTCACATGGGGTTGCGATGAGTTAAAATCTGTTTGACAACATACAACAACAACATCTTAATTATTCATTCTTTTAAGTAACATTTTTTAATTATATGTAAAATCTAGAGAAAAAGTACTTAAAAGTGAGAAAAGACAGCTTTAAGGAAGTCATGCACAAACTTGTATTTGTGACATAACCGTGCTTAGCATTTTATGTAGTTCCTGGTGGTGTAGTGGTTAAAGCATTTGGTGGCTAACCAAAAGGTCAGTGGTTCGAACCCACCAGCTGCTCCATGGAAGAAAGATGAGGCAATCTGCTTCTGTAAAGATTTACAGCTTTGGGAACCCAATGGGGGATTGCCATGAGTCAGAATCAACTTGAGGGCAGTGAGTTTGGTTTTTTGAGTTTTTTTTTTTAAACGTATTTTTCTAAGTAATTTTGTATCTTGTTCCTATAGGAGAGTACCTAGGAGTCTGAAGTCAAACTTTGAATGTTAGCTGCACCACTTAATAATCATGTGACCTTGAGCAAGTTTGTTAAATGTAATTCAATCCCCCTTGAACATCTGGACTCAAAACTTTCTTCTTTTTCTTTTTTTTTTAATTAATCTGTGTCTTCACGTGTGCTTTTCCCTCTGCTTGGGATACTCTTCCTGTCTCCTTCCCCTGAATTCTTCCTTCTTACTTATTCTTTTGATCTCAGCTTAAATGTTATTTGCTCTGCAGGGCCTTCTAAGGCCTTCTGATGGGTTCAGTCCCTTTCCTGTGCTCTCTGTATCCCCTGTACACACCACTTCATAGCACCCATTACACCTCTTGTAATTGCTGTTTAATTATTTAGTGTCTCCCCATCAGGCTGTGCTAAGCATGAGCACACCAGAAACACACGTCTTTACTTTCTTGGCCTGGGGACAGAGGTAACGGCACTGTTGGGGTTATAAAGCAGGGCTCCTGGACAAAGCCATTTGTTCACTCTAGTCCTGCTCTGAGAAAGGTGCCCTCTGGAGCAGGGGTAGGCAAAAGCTTTCTGTAAAGACAAGATAGGGAATATTTTAAGCTTTGAGGGCTTTATTACAACTACTCAATTCTGCCTTGTAATGGGGAAATTGTTGTTGTGTTGTTGTTTGCCGTCGAGTCGGCCCCGACTCATAGCGACCCCTCCTTGGGTTTCTGAGGCAGTATCACTACGGAAGTAGGATTGCCCAACCTTCCTTCTGAGGAGTGGCTGGTGGGTTTGAACCGCCAGCCTTCTGGTTAGCAGTCAAATGCCTTAGCCACTATGCTACCAGAGCTCCCAGTAGGGAAGTAGCCATCGGAAACAAATGAATAGGCATGATGGTGTCTCACTAAAACTTTATCTACAAAAACAGATAACGTGACAGGTTTGGCTCTTAGACTATAGTTTGCCAACCCTGGGCACTGTAGTAATCATTTGGCAGGTGGCCTGACTGTAAAGCAAATGGTAGCTACTCCCTACTTGGTAAAGACTCTGACTTTGAACCCCACCACTGCCCGTGTATATCCATGGATATTCACAAATGGAGTGTCTGCATTTGGAGCCCGTCATGTACAGACTAGTTAGGAAGTCTTCTATAGAGTATGATTAGGAAATGGGTTTTATGAAACTATAGGCATCCCCGACTTAAGTATGCAAGTTATGATGAACCACACTTACTGTCTGTTTTTGTTTCTAGTGGGGTTTTTGTACATTAGTTAATACATACTATATACAATGTTCTAGTGTGTAATTTGCTGACACTATCATTCTCAGTTGTTCACTCACAGATGTTTAATGCTCAATTTTATGATTTACTGTTCAAAACACTGCAGTAAAGATTTAGTTTTCTAAACTAAATCAGGGGGTTCAGTTGCTTGGAAACATGGACCCAAATTCTGATCCCTCTGTTAAAGTTGATAGGCAGATTTGGGAAGCAGTAAGATGGTACCATGAAATATATGAAGAAATAAAGAAAAGGACCATACAGACAATTCTACTAAGTTTCTTTCTTTCTTTTTAACATTTGATTGTGCTTTAGGTGAACGTTTGCTTAGCAAGTTAGTTTTCCAGTCAATGGTTCATACACAAATTTTTCCATGACACTGGTTGCAATTCCTGTCATGTGTCAGCCCTCCCCCTGTTTCCATTCATCTGCTTTTCCTGTTCCTCCCTGTCTTTTCATCTTTGGTTTTGGACAAATCGTGTCCCTTTGGTCTCATACAATTTATTGTTCTAGGAGGACATACTTCACTTGTTGTTGTTGTTGTTGTTTGCCATCGAGTCGGCCCCGACTCATAGCGACCCCTCCTTGGGTTTCTGAGGCAGTATCACTACGGAAGCAGGATTGCCCAACCTTCCTTCCGAGGAGTGGCTGGTGGATTTGAACCGCCAGCCTTCTGGTTAGCAGTCAAGTGCCTTAGGCACTATGCTACCAGAGCTCCTACATACTTCACAGGTGTTACTATAAAACAAATAGTAACACCTGTGAACAAATAGTAACATACTTCACAGGTGTTACTATTTATTTTATAGTCCCATCTGTTATTTACCTGAAAGGTGGGCTCTAGGACTGTCTTTAGTTTCAAGTTAGAAGGTTGTCTCAGGGCAATAGTCTTTGGGGTCCCTCTAATCTCTTTCAGAGCAGTAAATTTGGTCTTTTTTTTTGTTAGTTGAATTTTGTTCTACATTTTTTGCATTTGTAACTGGACATTCTATCGTGGCTTTAGTCAGAATGGTCAGTGGTGGCAGCTGGGCACCATCTAGTTCCTCTGGTCTCAGGTTACAGGAGGCTGTGGTTCATGTGAGGCATTAGTCCATTGGACTGATTGCTTCCTTGAATCTTCATTTTTCTTTGTTCTCCTTCGCTCCAGGCAGGAAGAGACCAATAGTTGCTTCTTAGATGGTTGTTCATAAGCTTTTAAGATTCCAGACATCACTTACCAGACTAGGATGTAGACTATTATTACCTTTATGAACCATGCTTTGCTAACTGATCTAGATGTTCCTTGAAACTATGGTCATTGGCCTTCAAGTCCAGTGATTCAGCCTTGATGTCTAAGTGGTTTCTAAACTGTGCCCCCTATGTGCTCCATTATATATATGAGTATATGTGCAGCATTTATAATTACATATGTAGAAATTTCCATCACCATATCTATACATGCCCTCTTTCTTTTCCATATAAACTTGGTGACTAGTTTTCTACTAATTTTCTTACTAAAAATGCCATCCCCATTCCCAGAGATAATCCAGATGATCCAGAACCTTCCACAAGTGAAGTTATTACCACAAACAGATGCCAATTAAAAAAATGCCAATATCATCCAACTTTTCTCCATCATCAGTAAATTTTTATGATTTGTGTATTTTTTTATGAATGTATGAATAGATCTGTAAGTTTATAGGTAATGTTTCCCAGAGACAAATAAAGATGAGGTTTATAACAGAGAGCGTGGGGGTGGGAGTGCATGGGAGGTAAGGACACAGGGAAGAGGTAACTACAGGAAAGAAGTGAGAAGAGAGCTGTTACACTGTGGGGAATTGCAGTCCATGTCTTGAGGCAAAACATGTATGAACTGCTGTATGGAAAATGAATTTGCTCTGTAAACTTTCACCCAAATCACAACAAAAATTAAATTAAAAAAAGATGACATTTATAAAGATACTACAAATAAAATGAAATAATAATTAAAACATAAGAAAAAGAAAAATGAGGTATTCAACTTACATCAGAACCAACTTTGTTGGAGCTGTTAGAATCGAACACTGTCATAAGTTGGTGACTATCTGTATAGACTTGCTTATCAATTATAAGACTGTTCTTATTTTTTGTCTTGTTCTCATTCTAATATTAAAATAAAAAAAACTCAGTGCCATTGAGTTGATTCTGACTCACAGTAACCTCCATTGGATTTCTAAGGCAGTAAATCTTTATGGAAGTAGATTGCTCCATATTCCTTCAGTGGAGCAGCTGGTGAGTTTGAACCACTGATCTGATTAGCAGCCAAATGCCTTACCCACTATATCACCAGAGAAAACTGGTGTTGTACCACCTTAAAATGTTGATGATGAGACTATAATAAATGATGAAAAGAAAAAGCATCAATAATAATAAGTGTTTCCATGAAGACACTAGCAATAGACTTTCCAGCTATCCCATTGCCATTCTGGTCCTTCCCTCTCACATCTCAGGTTTATTTACATACTTTGCATTGTTGAGCTTCTCCTCATCGTCCAGATTTTCAGTCTTCAGAAGGTCATAGTTAATGCAACCGGGTTGAATGGCATCAATGAGATCCAGAACAGGCAGACTTGTACTGATCTTCGGGTCCTGCATAGAGACAAAGGGAAGGCTTTTCAACATGCCTCAAAGTTACATCTGTTTGACTCAGAGGAAATGGATGATCCTTTCCTCTTCAATATAAACTTTATACAGCCTGATATGGAAAAAAGGAGCCCTGGTGGTACAGCGGTTAAAGAGCTTTGCTGAAAACCACAAGGTCTGTGGTTTGAACCCACCAACTGCTCCATGGGAGAAAGTTGTAGCAGTCTGCTTCCATAAAGAGTACCAGCCTATGAAGCAGTTCTGCTCTGTCCTACAGGGTTGCTATGAGTTGGAATCAACTGGATGTCAGTAGGATTTGGTTTTGATTGGTCTGGTATGGAATAGGTCACAGTACTCTACACAGCATTTCAAATCAACTGTAGTTTCTGTAGGAGGATCAGTAAGTTCCTGGCCATTCACTAAGCAGAGAAAACCCATTGTCTGCCAACCAAAAACCAGTTGTGGTCAAGTTGATTCTGATTCATGGTAACTTGTGTTGTAGAGTACAACTATACTGTATATGGGTTTCAAGGCTGTGGCTTTTCAGAAGCAGATAGCCGGGCCTTTTTTTCTAAGTGCGTCTGGACGAACTTGAACCTCCAAACTTTTGGTTAGCAGTTGAGTGCAATAACAGTGTGCACCACTGCAGGACTCCTGTCCGCCAACAAGTGTGAGATTATTCTCAAATAGTTAAAGGAAAGGTGTTAGTATAATCAGAGAAAAGCGTGTTGTTGTTGGGTGCCAGTGAGTCGATTCTGACCCACAGTGACCCTGTGTGACAGAGCAGAACTTTCCCACAGTGTTTCCTAGGCTATAATCATCATGGAAGCAGATCATTGGGTCTTTTCTCTCATGGAACTGCTGGTGTGTTTGAACCGCTGACCTTTGGGTTAGCAGCTTGACCACTGCACCACCAGCACTCCTGAAAAAAGCAAAGAGGTTGAAATATAATTTATCTAATATAACTACCAGCAATGTAGTGATAGTAGGAGAAGGATGATTTGAAAAAGAAACCACGAGAAAGGAGAGACTAAAAGTATCTGGAGAAACCTTTGCTTCAATTTGAGAGGACATCACAGAGGTGACTGAGGTGACTAGCAGGGTTAGGGATGAGAGGACAGATGGATATAAGCTCCAGTGAATGCTCCTTTCTTGGAGACCTCAGGAAAAAGAACATTCTGTAGGCCCATGAAGACAGTGAGGACAATTTTGTGATTATCTGCAATGTCCAAACCCATTGCTGTTGAGTTGATTCCAACTCACAGCAACCCTATAGCACAGAGCAGAATCACCCCACAGCTGTTAATGAAGGCTGTAAATCTTTACAGAAGCAGACAGCCAAATCTTTCTTCCATGGAGGGCTGGTGGGTTCAAACTGCCATTTTGGTTGGCAGCCAAATACTTTACTGCACCACCAGGGCTCCCAGTTTTCCCAGCTCTCTCAAGGTTAGCTCACTTGATTGTTACCACATGCTCCAGGTGTAGGCATAGGCATCTGCCTGTGATGTACAGATGTGTAAAGGGAGTTTCTGATGCCTAGTGACTTGCTCGTAAGTGATGGAGCTGGGATTTGGACCCAGGGTGCTTTGGTGGCATAGTGCCCAAGGCATTTGACTGCTAACTAGAAGGCTGGCAGTTCAAACCCACCAGCTACTCCTCAGAAGGAAGGTTGGGCAATCTACTTCCATAGTGATACCACCTTGAAAACCCAAGGAGGAGTCTCTGTGAGTTGGATCCGACTCGTTGGCAGTCTTACTTTAGTGCAAGAAAAAGGAGCTCTACTAGCATAGTAGGTAAGGCATTTGCCTGCGAACCAGAGGTTGGCAGTTCAAACCCACCAGCTCTGAGGGAGGAAGATGAGGCAATCTACTTTCATAAAGATTTACAGCTTAGGCAACCCAGTGGGGGCTGCTAAGAATTGGAAATGACTCAATAGCAGTGGGTTTAGTTTTCTTTGTTTAAGTGCAAGAAAAGGCTTGAAATCTTTTCAGTGATTTAAAAGCTTCACAAGCAGCAAGTCAGGGTGATTATGTGAAGAATTTGTTTTGAGTAGGAGTTGGTTCAATTGTTTCAAAGTGAGGGCAGATTTACACAACATTAAAGGACAAGTATAAGTTGTCTGCAAGTCAGACGTTCATAACCTGGGGACTGCATGTACAATGGGTCTGTTTTTTATGTATTTCTGGTTAATAAAAGGACTCCAGCAAAATTAAACTCAGCAATCATTATCTGGTTTTTCACCAACAGCTTTAGCTTTTACCCTCACAGAAATATTTGGTGGAGAAGCACAGAAATGGGAAGATTCACATTTTATCCTCATTCTTACTTTCTTGTCCACATTTTGTGAAGGTGCTGACAGGCAGAGAAATGGGGCCAACAACTGATGGCAGAAGTAGATGATGAGGGAACAGGATTATTTCCAAACTGGTTAATCAAGGGTAGATTGAGTTCATTTTCCTAAGGGTTTTGTGCACTTAAGAGAAATGTGGAGGCTAATGTGACGTTTTCCTTTGGTACATAGTATGGCCCTTTTAATTGATCTCATTTGGTAATGGCTTAATGGAAAAACAGAAGAAAAGTACCTCAGAGCATCACAAGGAACAAAGGAACTGTCATGCATTCCCAAGAGTGAGCCCCAGCATAGCTTGCCAAACTGTGCCCCCAGAGCATCCTGGGAGCCACAGAGTAATGTAATGGGCTGGAGCAGCAGCTGTTTTACAAAAGAAGCATCCTGGGCTATTTAACTAGTTACCTCATGTTGTTTTTATTTGTCAGGGAGTTGGCTCCAACTCATGGTGACTCCATGGATAACAGAACAAGGTGATGCCCAGTCCTGCACCACCCTCATGACTGGTTGGGGATCAAACGCTGTTCCATTGTGAGTTTTTGGAATTAGATCTCCATTCTTTCTTCCTAGTTCATTGTAGCCTGGAAACTGCTGAAACCTGTTCAGCATAATAACAACATATAACCCTCCACTGACAGTGGTGGCTACGCTTGAAGTCTTTGGCCGGAAATCAAGCTGGAGCATCCTCGGGGAGGTGAGAATTCTACAATTCAACTACCAATGCCTTAGTCACTTTATAAGTAGTGGTTTAAATGACCTATAGATACACTCTGCTCTACAACTTCATCCCACGGGTAAAATGTTTTCCCCTCATTTATGTACCAACATTGGCAATTACCAGCCAGGACCTCAGGAAATGATTGAGCTTCAGTTTCCTCACCTATGAAATGAGGACTATAGTAAAGCCTACTTCCAAAGGTCTGTGAGGATGAAATGAGAGAACATGAACAAGAAATCCTTGGCACTCAGTGTGCATTCACTATTGGTAGTGCTCTCCATAAAGTTTTCAAGGCTATGACCTTTCAGAAGCAGATCACCAGGCCTTTTGTCCAAGGTGCCTCTGGGTGGGTTTGAACTGACAACCTTTCTGTTAGTAGTAAAGTGCTTAATTGTTTGTGCCACCCAGGGACTCCCTTCATCTGCTCTTACTGGTGAGGAGAGATTTGAATTTTCTCTAGATTTTGAAGCAAGGGAATTAATATTATGAAGAATTGCATCCTTGACTGTGTTAACACATTTCTGAAGGCATCCTGACCTATATGCTAGCAGAGCGTAGTTAAGGGGCACAGGCTTTATAATATGAATCATATGTGCAGGTTGCTTGAGGAAGAATCTATGAATAATGCATGAAACTCAAGACAATAAAATATAATGCTGTTATTAATAAAAATTGGGTTTGGCAATGGTCACTAGGAGGAGCAGGTGACGCAGACTGCATCAGATGACACTGTCAGAGGGGGTGACATCAAAATGTCTACAAAACTTTTGTGCAGTGTTTCAGCAGAAATTTATTATTTTGAATAAAAATATCCCTACAGTTAGTTGTAAGGCGCTCTGGTGGCATAATTGGTAAGGCATTTGGCTGCTAACCACAAGATTGGCAGTTCAAATCTACCAGCTTGAGAGAAAGATGAGGCAATCTACTTCCATAAAGATTTACAGCTTTGGAAACCCAGTGGGGGTGGCTACAAGTCATAATTGAGTTGATGGCAGTGGGTATGGTTTTAGTTCATGGGTAGTTAGTTATAACAATAAAAACAGGTTTTGCAAACCCAACTTACAAATATCTATATACCGACAGGGCTAAAACTCTATGCTAATTTACTTTTTGAACATTCTAAAGCACTTCTGGGAGCTCTGGTGGCTTAGTGCCTAAGGCACTTGACTGTTAACCAGAAGGTGGCAGTTCAAACCCACCAGCCACTCCTCAGAAGGAAGGTTGGGCAATCTACTTCCATAGTGGTACTGCCTTGGAAACCCAAGGAGAGGTCGCTGAGTTGGACCTGACTCGACAGCAGTGAGTTTGGTTTGTTTAAAGCACTGCTTTCCAGAGCTGTCATTACCCAGTTACAATGATGCTTAGATTCCTGTGGCTTCGTTTGCGTATGCTACAAGCACACACTGTTGTCTGTTGCTGCCAACGTTTTTGTTCACCTGTGCCGGCAGTGGCTGGTTTTGTCAAACTTTCTAGTGTTTTAGCTACAATAGTGTGGTAAATAGCATCTGTGAACCTATATTAATAACTTTTGTGAGAATGAAGTAGTAATTAAAAGAAGCCGAAAAATCAAAAAAGGCTTCCACTTAGTTACTAATAATGTCACAGCTAATAGTGTTATAATTCAATGTAGAAAGATTTTACCAATTTTGTTGTTATTATTCATATAATCTAAGAAATGTCACATTTAAGCAATTTACAACTATACTACATATTATTCTATGATTAGAATTAATAATAAACATCACTAAGGATTCTGTATGGTCTGGTCCAGTCAAAGATGCATGGGGTGGGTGACACCATGAATTACCACACTGGGTAGCAACCAACCCCATGAAATACCACACTGGGTAGCACCAACCCTAGTGACAGCACTGGGACTTTGATACAATTACACAACTGTGTTTGAAGCCAGCTAGTTTAGAAAACTTTTTTGTCTTTGAGTCCAGCTAAGCTAGAGAGAAAGCCTCTTACCACTCCTAGGGATGGGACCTAGGGGCAACATAGGCAATAAAGAAGCCAAATACAAAGAAACAACCCTATCTCATTTCCTGCCAACCCTCCCATTTGCAACCATTAATTCCGAGCTGGTCCCAACTAGATTCAGGAGCATAAGCAAAAAGAACAACCCTGCCCTCTAGGCTGAACCTGGAACATTAGGACTCATGTCAAAAAAAACCAAACCAAACTCACTGCTGTCCAGTTGCTTCGACTCATAGTGACACCTCCTTGGGTTTCCAAGACGGTATCTTTACAGAAGTAGATTGCCCAGTTTTCCTTGTCAGGAGTGGCTGGTAGGTTTGAACCACCAGCCTTCTGGTTAGCAGTCAAATGCCTTAGGCACTACAGACTTATGTCAAGGAACCCAAATCACCAGAATTACATCATTGGTACTACATGGACCCATTTCAGAAGCTAGGAGTCTGTTGGTCACTTCCCTGCTAGGGTATAACCCCGCCCTCTATGAATAAGGCATAGCACCTCCCCCAAATCTTTGAATATGTATAACTCCCCACTTCTCTGTAGGCTTTAACACTTCTCCAACTGCTTTTGTTTGGGGAGACAGAGCTCTGAAAACTAGTCCCCTGTTTCCTTATATGTTGAGAGATAATAAAAGCTATACTGAAAACTCTAATCTGCCTGCCTCTGAGTTATTCTTAGCCGGAGCACGAGCAGCGGACCCCCCTTATTTTGGAAGGTTCACTTTTTCTCAAACAACGTCACATGGGAGAGTATTAAACATTTCAGCATTATAATGTTAAAAACAAGAGTCATGAATCTGTGCACATTTTAAAAAGAATATCATATTTTCTGTTACTCTGAGAGGACAAGCCCTAAAAGGAAGCATAAAAAGACAGCTTTATTATTGTTAGTTACTATGGCAGAAAGTGAAATGTAAGAAATTTGTCAATGAAATGGACTGTGAACATCAAAACAATAATGGGTCATTCAAGCAAACTCAAAATGGGAATGGAAACCTCAAGTACCCATAGTGAAGGTCACTTTAAAATTTAGTGCAGACAATAAAGATAAGCATAGAGTCAGGTGGCCTCTTGCAGTTAACTAGGAATTTTACCTTGAAACTGGAGATGGATGAACTTTTCCCTGCCTCCTTCAGTGTTGCATTCACCCAGTTGACAATAATGTCATCATTGACCTTCTGCCCACCACCAATTTCTTCCAGGATATTCAGTGTGTACCTGCACAAAATCAAGAACGATTTCTGAAACAAAGTTGCTAAAGAATTCAATGTAACAGAAAGTCACGAGTCAAAATTGTCTTTTCTTTCTACGTGTATCACAGAATATAGCTTAGACACCATTACATTAGAGGAAAAAAGAGTAACAGCATTAGTGAAAAAAGAAGTAACTTAAAAGGGAACTTTATGGTTGTTATCATGAAATGTAAAGCAAGTACATCCTAAGTACCCTCATTGCTCTGTGCAGGATGAAAGAATAGAAGAGAAGGAAAAGAAACGAAAAAGAAGCAAAGAATTTGAACCAGTGAATTTTTTTCTTAAAGGAATCATAAAAATCAAAGACTACTCAATGCTAGGAAACCCCAAGTAGCCAAAAATACTACAGGGAAATACAAGAGTTTCTTTTTTATATCAATTATAAGCAGAAGTTTAGAGAAAAGATAATCTCTGGTCTTGTATTAGACCTTAAATTCTAAAGCACTTGGTTTGTGGAAGGCTGTGGTCTGCAGTGGGAGCCCTAATTCTATTTTGAGGCTTTACTTAAGTCTTGGACATCATTTGGGTTCTTTCTGACCATTAAACCAGCATTGTGGTGATGCGTAGACACGTTCCAGGACAAACCTAGGGAGGGGCAGTTTGCCTTCAGGGAGAATGTGGTTGAAAGTAGATTATGCTCACACAAAGAGCTAGGCACCTTGCCTGAGTGTGTCCTTTTCTAATTTATGCTAAGGTTGGGGTCCTGGTATTGTTCTGTAGCCACCTTGTGGCTCTGACTCAGGTCACATGGTGATGAGTCATATGGGTAGTCAAGGACCAGGACAATCCTGTAACTTTTCTAGCATCAATTATGTATTTATCCCAATCATGATCCTTTCCCCCATTCTGTAGTCCCACCTGTGACAGTGATGAATGGATCTGCCACCAATCATGATTTTGTGATGATTCCCTTTGTTTTCAATCCTATATAATTAGCCCCATGGGTAATGGCTAATGGACTCCATTCAGCTTTCTATACTGTGTACCTGCTGATGGTTTCCCTCATCCTGGATGGACCATCTTTGTTTTGTCTTTGTCCTGTCCAAAGCTTCATAAAAGTATCTCTACTGAATCTGTTTGAATCTAGGGTCTCTCTTCCCCTATTATTGCCTGAAGGTAGGAATCACCTCAGATACATAGTGTGATGAGAACTGAGTTTTTTTGGGAAATACTTATTAAGAAGATGTTTTGAGATCCAAAAATTCCATGGTGCAGAGAACAATCAACCACCCTAGAGCCAGAGCTACTCGTTCTCAAAGGGGAAATACAAAGTAGAAAGCTGAACAGCTGAGCAACAAGCAGGTGTGTTGACTTCATGGTTCAGTTTGCCAGAGGCGTCAAATTACGCAAGAAAAACCTGCAAGGCTTGGATTGCGGTGTGAACTTTTCAAACTGAAACTCAAGTATCCTGCGATTGAATCTCTCAGAAGGGCTGACCTAAATGAAGTCACTCTCTACTTGACTGTCCCAGGATTTTGCTTACATAATCCCTCAGGAATCTTCCTCCAGTTACTGCCTCTACAGAAGCCCAATTCACCCACGATTTTCCACACTGTTGTCATCCCTAATTCCTGAAATAGGAACTGTCTTACTTCTTCCAGGTCAAAGCTTAACCATTTGTGCCACTCGGACTCCTAACCTGAGGAAACAAACTAATTTTTTTTAGTCTTCTAGCAGCTCCATTCATTTTAGGACTTAATTTTCATATTCTTTGGTCAAGAGTTATAGCCTTGCTTTACTGACAAACTCAAGCGACCAGAACCAGTACTTCTGACCCACCTCTTGAGCTATGGAAGTAAATGGTACAGGAGAAAGGTTTACCTTTATACAAAGATCTACCCCTGAAAGTAAAAAAAGCCACTAAGGAACAGGCGTCTTTATAGAGTTACAGAAAATTGTGGGGATGGTTGACTGCATTCTGGGGCTTAAGAATCGCCTTTCACAGTGGGACACAGAGCTTTGGTGAACACAGTTTCAGATTACCCACCAAGCTAACGAAGGCTGAGTGTTCAAACCCACCAACCACTCCTCGGAAGGAAGATTTCTGTAGTGATACTGGCTCAGAAAACCCAGGAGGGGTCACTGTGAGTCGGATCTGACTCAACAGCTGTGAGTTTGGTTTGGATTTGGAAGGTAAGCATGGTCTTACTTGTGATTACTTACTAATCTATAGTGAACAATTTCACATCTTTTCACCACACTGAAGATTCTACTTCTAGATATGGCTGGCATCTGTCTCTCTCCCAACCCTTTAGCACCTTCTTACAGAATCAAAACCTTTTTCGAATTTGCAGTCTTTGACAGGTGTGGAGCACCCAGGAAGCAAGATAAACAGAGGCTTATATGTGCTTACATAAGAATCTGTAGTGAACAGTTTCACATGTTTTTAAGCCTATGCTTACCTTACTTATTAGGTTATCCACCCCTTGGTAAACACAAAGTAGTCTTTCTGTCACCTCAAGTGAGAGGCAGAGGTTTAAAATGAATGTGATACCCACTTGTAAGAACAATGATGAAAATAAAGGATAGAATTGCTGGACCCTCAACTTTAGACAGTCCACCAGGCAATTAATCATCTAAACGTAGAATCAACATTTTCAAAGAAATTAATTGGGTCTGCATGCATTCCAAATTTTCTTTTTGAGATGATCATTCCATATTGTTAAACATGTTTTTGGGCAAATGTGCAATTAAATGGAACCCTCCAGATGGGATCCCATCATTAGTGGTGTTTGCAAAATGCACTATGCTGGAAAGGTCCCTGTCAAAACAGAACAATCACATAAGCCCCAGTTCTGCATTCCACAAAACAGGACTGGGGAAATGTGGCTGTGCTGCCATGAGAGGGGCTGCAATTACTGCATGCTTTCCTGCCTTCTAATTCTGGTTTTAGTTATTTAACATTTGGTGCAGAGAGGGGGAAAAAAAAATCTCACTGCCATCAAGTCGACTCCGACTCATAGAAATCTCTTTGGGTTTTCAAGACAGTAAATCTTTAGGGAAGTAGATCGCCCAGTCTTCCTTCTGCAGACTGGCTGGTGGGTTTGAACCATCAACCTTCTGGTGAGCAAGCAAATGCCTTAGGCACTACACCACCAGATCTCCTTCTGGTGTAGAGACAAACCTAGTAAGATGTGTTTTGTTTTCTGAAAGACTACCCCCACTTCTTCATCCCAAGCTCATTTTAATTTTGGAGCGTGCACAGATTTACCTGCCTCAGATTCTGTTCATTTGCTTGAGTGTAACTATCATTGCTGTCTGACATCAGCTTACTTGTTTCAGGCCTTTGTCTCCAAATGTATACACACACAATTTGTCAGCTTTCCAACTGGAGAACAATTTCCAAACTACTGAAGGGGAAAGGGAATACATACACATCTCTCATTTGTTCATAGGGGGGAAAATGACATGCTATTTATTACCCAGATAAATGACCAAATTAGCACATCTGTGCAATCCACGGAAATAAATTCCAGCTAGAACCGGCTGTGAATTTAATAGATCTCTTACTATGTGCATGCAAACAAACAAAAAAATCCCTTCTGGCAGCATTTAAATAATTATCAATCATGGTTTTTCTTCTACAACAGTAATGTAAATGTCTGTCCACTCTCTTATATGCACAATGCTTCTGAGTAAATACCTGTGGAAAACATGGCTTATTCACCAGATAGAGCAGAAGTGGACTGTAACTTATCATATATATTTGATACTTTATTGTATAAAATATGACTTCTGGCCATATTTCCCTCAAACTTCCAAACAAAAGATCATATTACAAGGTGCTTTTCAGATGCTATGAAATTCAAAACAGAATATCACTAAAACAGAGTATTTCAAAAAGTATTTCATATTTGAAAATTCTGACTCAATTATTGCAATCAAAACAAATTATACATTGTTTTTCAAGAAATCACTACCAAAAGCCAAGCCAATCTGTTAAGAATTAAAAACATATATGAGAGACAATAATGAGTGGCTTACAAATCAATTCTGTAAACATACTTGTGAGAATGGCCCTAAGGAACCTTCAGTGAAGTTCTAGGTACATACAGTCAAATAGAAGATAGTGTTGATATCTATATAGTTCTTTGGATTTTTGTGCCAGAGGAACCTATAGCATCTGCCTCGCATTATTAAAGAGATCCTAGTTTAGTAAGGGAGCTCTGGTGGCATAGTGCCTAAGGCTTTGACTGTTAACCAGAAGGCTGTAGGTTCAAACCCACCAGCCACTCCCTGGAAGGAAGGTCGAGCAATCTACTTCCATAGTGATACTGGCTCAGAAACCCAAGGAGGGGTCTCTATGAGTTGGATCTGACTCCATGGCAGTGGTTGTGTTTTTTGGTTAGTTTAGTAAAGGGTTGTTGTTGTTGTTGTTATGTGCTGTCGAGTCAGACGCGACTCATAGTGACCCTTTCTTGGGTTTCCAAGGCAGTATCATTACAGAAGTAGATTGCCCTGTCTTCCTTTCAAGGAGTGGCTGGTGGGTTTGAACCACTAGCCTTCTGGTTAGCAGTCAAGTGCCTTTAGGCACTATGCTACCAGAGCTCCTTTCGTAAAGGGTAGTGGAGCTTTATATTTGGTAAAGAAAATGTGAATCAGGTAGTGAAATCTATTGTGATCACTCTGGTTACCCGACATCCTGGAAACATTGGCGTAATTACATTGAGGACCTGTCTACAAATATTAGGGTCTATGGACAGTGACTTGGGAATAAAGCAGAAGTGCTTAGAAACACTACAAACCTTGTCTTTGCCATTACCTTGTTAGATATAATGCAATGTGACATTTGGTTTCTGGGCTTTCTTCCAGATAGAAAGTGAATTAAATCATAGTAATATAGGCTCTATTTTAGAATGTGAGATTTCTGTCTAGTCAGAACTCAAGTATAGGGGGAATGATCAAAACACTTAAAAGTGAACTATTTTATAAGCTCTGGTGGTGTAGTGCCTAAGGCATCTGACT